CAACATGTGGAAGTAACTGTGGGAAAAACATTCCCACAATGGAATACCATGCAGCCATAGAGAGAAATGAGGAAGATACCTATAGGATGATGTAAAGCAATGTCCAGAATATATTTTTAAGGGGAAAAAGAACAAAAAAGATGTGGACCAATGTGTAGAATATGCTGAATATATATTTTTTTTCACAAGAAAGGGGATTCAAATATATATTGATTTTAAAAAATAAAGGATACATCAAAAGGATACATCAAAAATGTTAAAATAATGATATAGGAAACATTACAGTAAACAGAAGAAAGTTCCGCCTGCTCCATTTTTCTCTTTTCAGTTTTTTTAATTGTTTTACATTGTAAGTGATGTGGAGTACGAGATATGAGAACCAGGTGAGCCAAATGCAGTGAATGGACCTTGTTTGGATTTTGATTCAAAAACTGCAATTGCCAAAACAGATTTTTGAAACAACCAGAAAAATATAAATACAGCATAATTATTAGGTGATATAAAGGAATTATTATAATGTTATGTTTTCAATGTGATAATCAGAATAATGTGGTTATGTTTTTAAAAAGGCCTTACCTACTAGAGATACAAACTCAGGTATTACAGACAAAATCATATTATATCTTGGATTTTTAAATACTGAAGGAGGGAGGGGGTTAGAGATCTCAAAAGCCTTAACATTATACATACATTTTGACCTTTCAATTACAGTTTCTAGAATTTATCCTAAATATATAGATATGAATGTGTATAAAGATTTAGCTAGAGAAATACTTATTCCAGAAATTTTTAGGGGCAAAAACATGGAAATGCCTGTGTTTAAATAACTATATTAGTTAAATAAATCAAATAATGCAATACCACCTTTAAAATTATGTTGAAAAATAATTTTTATAAATTGAACGGAAAAGTGTTCATATTATTGCTAAGGAAGAATTCATAAAACTGTAATCCAGTATAATTTAGATTTTATTAAGAAAAAAATTCTTTGAGGGAAAATATTAAGATATTCTGCAAGTATTTTTAGTGACTATTTCAGGGAGGTCAGAATCCAGGCAACATTTATTTAAATTCGTTGTTTAGTGACAAAGTTGTGTCCAACTCTTTGCAACCCTAAGGACTGTAGTCTGCCAGGCTCCTTTGTCCATGGGATTTCCCAGGCAGGAATACTGGAGTGGGTTGCCATTTCCTCCTCCCAGGGATCTTCCCGACTCAGGGATCGAACCCGCATCTCCTGTGTCTCCATCATAGGCAGGCAAATTCTTTACCACTGAGCCACTGGGGATATTAGTAGTTGATCTTTATCTTTTAAACTACTGACAATCAACATATGTTATCTTTGCAAAATATAATAGCTATTAAAGTAAAAGAGAGTTCTTCATCAAGCAATTCATCAATTTCAGAAAAATAATAACACTGAAGACATAGAAAAAAATAATGTAAAGATTGAGATATTTGTCTGGTAAAACATTTTTCAAATATGAAGAACAGCCACCGCACTGTAAATTGAAGTCATTTTTTATCACGAATGATGTAAGATTCCTTTCTCCACAAAAATGGTTTCTCACAATGAGATTTCTGGTACATTCAACCTAACCCCTTAGGAGAGGAAGTAATTTTTCATTTTGCTTGATCACAGAACCAAGCACAGTGTTGTGAAGTTTATGCAGAGGGCAGACTGCTTGTAAAGGATCTGTCCACTTAATTTCTCTTATTCATAAACCAGATTCCCTCTTGGTACCCCGGGTCCGCCCCAGTGGTTCCTGGAAAGGGTACAGAATGCCACCTTGGCAAGGAGGCCGCTGAGATTCCTTGGAGGAGACGTGCTTGCCTAACAGGAAGACGCTGAAGGCTCGCCCTTCTGCCTCTGAGGAAAGAGACTTGAGAGAGAGAAAGAATCTGACAGGAAGACGAACATGTTTTGACCTCCTGTCTCTGGGGTTAAGTCCCGTAGCTGCAAAGCATATTTGATTGTTCAGGAAAAGCTGGAAGGAGAGCTTTTGCTCTCCTTCAGGACTATGAGGGAAGAGACGTGACAACAAGATAATAAAAATAGTGCTGGGGCATAAATCGGCCCTGAGCACCTGATTTGTCTCCTTCCCTCTTATGACTTTCCACCTCCACCTCAGGCAACTTTCAGTCACAATGTGGTTTCTAAAAGACCCAGTGTTACAATTAGCCCCTAAGAGATGTGAAGATGCTTGAGATTTCTGGAGGAGGACTTGCCGCAGGAAGTTGTCTGAGTGATGAGGGGGTTGCAACGGCTTTAGGCTATGCTGTGTCGCCCGGAAAACATTCTCCCTTTTCTCCACCACTTCTCAGAAGTTTTTGAAAGAAACGGAGTACCTGTGGGTGTCAGGATGCAGGCAAGATAGCCGGGAGAGGGTTTGACAAGGTCCAGTAGCCTAGGATTTTGTCAGGATACTGGAACTGACCAGAATAACCGTGCGTTGGTGGGAAACAACACACATCCAAGTATCACCTACAATTTGTGGTGGCGACCAACAAAGAGACTGGCAGAAAGTTAGGGCCCCCTACACCAAATGTCCCAAAGATAATAAGGATTTTCCCTCTGCAAAGCACCGTTGTGGGAAGGCAGAAAGTGAAGGAAGGAAGGAGTGTGAAAGAAGAAACGTCTCTGTTAGAAGTGGTATTAACATTGCCTGAAGATTTGCCAAAATGAGACTTGACTGATACGAGACTATCGGGACATCTCTAATTATCAGGTTAATACTTTTTCATAGCTATCAAAATGAGTGAGAACTTGTAAAGAGGATGACATTAAAACAGAAAGTTAAAATGCAGCACGCTCTTGGCATATTTGAATACTGATAGCCATTTTTTTTTTTTAGTTTTAGTTAATTTCAGTTTTTGCAAAAACTATTCTGAACTTCACAGATATTTGATAAATAAAGAAGTAATTATATAACAGTTACTGAAACACTGAACTGTTTCTATGAATTTTCTGGGATAGCTATAAATGTTTCCTGTTAATTCCTCGATGTTTCTTTTCCTGATAAAAACACACACACAAAAATTTTTAATGACATACTTTGGTTTTTTTTTTTTTTCCCCCTGAAAAGCTTGATAAAATCTGCTTTCAGTAGACTGAGTGTAGGAGTGACTTGTATCCATTGGGATAGTGAAAAGATTTTAGATAAGATGGAAAGTTGCAACTCTCCCTCCCTTTTCTTCTTTATATATTCCTGTTCTTAAAAAAATTTTTTTTTTTTACTTTTTATTTTTTGCTCTCACTTGAAACATCTAAGGAAAAAGATTAAAGACAACATACTTGTTCACAATTCTGTTAAGAATTCAGAATATATATATTTCTTGCCAGTACTGCTTATGGACTGCTCTGAGATTTTGTTTTCACATGTGTATCACTGACCATGCTCATATGCAGAGAGAGAGAGTCCTGGGTTCAGTCCCTGGGTTGGGAAGATCCCCTGGAGGACGGCATGGCAACCCACTCCAGTATTCTTGCCTGGAGAATCCCATGGACAGAGGAGCCTGGTGGGCTACAGTCCATGGGGTTGCAAAGAGTCAGGCAGACTGAGCGACTAACACCTTCCCATTTTTCACATGAATGTGAATTTCAGGGAATGAGGGAGACTCTTGAAACAAAAATTAAAAATGAAAATATTAAGTCCTTGAACTGGAGATTACTTGGATTTAACCACAAATCATATATTACCTCTTTTTAAAGATTCATATTATATGATAAAGTATGATTTGGGTGGAATGAATGAAGCTGAGATCTCTTCATCTTCAGTATGAAGCTGGCTCATATTTGAGAGATGCTTGTCGAACACTGCAGATTTTTGCCTCACTGCCAAAGTGAGCACTTTTGTAATAACCTTAAATATATCTGGCCAGATTTGAATAACCGCCCCATCCCCTACCCACCCACACACCGAGAGAACTGAGAGAGGGAACCCATTTGAAATTATCTCAGATATTTACTAAGACCCAGACTCGGATATTAAGATCTAGAAATATTCAATCTTCAGAGTTAACATTTTATAATTTCTGAGAATAGTTGTTAATAAAGCCCTATCATATTTTTAAAAACTCTGTTGTAAAAGAATGTATTGTGAGTAGCGGCCTAATTTGAAGGGTTCAGGACAGAAAAAAAAAAAAAAGACTGTAGTTCCTCGACTTTGTAGTACTTATGCCTCAAGATCCAGGAGCGTACCTGCGTGACGCAATATTTATTTCTGTTTGCATAGTCATTCACCACATTTACTCTGTAACGATTTATTGAGCACTTCCTATGTATCAGGTCCCTGTTGACTGCAGGACAAGACTGACGGGATTTCTGCTTTCATGGGGTTTTTAATCTGGAGGCGGCGGTGTGGGAGGTATTATCAAATGTGTATTAAATACAGAGTTGCAAACCCGGAAAGAAAGGCTGTGCAGTAAACTGTTGGGGGCAGTGATGGATACGAAGCTCTTCCAGAAAAAAAAAAAAAAAAAAAAAAGGAGGGGGGTGGACTTGAAAGAGGATTAACGAAGAGGGAAGAGTAGCAGTTGAAATGCCAATCAGAGGAGCTCTGCCGGAACAAAGGCCTGAGAAACTGAGATCTGGGAAAACTGCAAAGTCGTCCAAAAATGCCGGAGCACGAAAAGCTGTGCAAGACGAGGCCGGAGCAACCGGTCGAGTCGGAGCCCGGCCACGTAGGGGTCTCACGGGCTGGTTTCAGTATTTAGATTTTCATCCAAAGATGTGCTCTGCGATTAGATGAGCTCTTAGCTATCTGATTGGCAGATACGTTTCTGTTTGTGTTTTTCTGGCCAGCAGGAGGAGGTGTGTTTTTGTTTGTTTGGGGCTTTTTTGTTGTTTGTTTTTTTGGATGCATTCAGCCAGCGTGTGCATTATCGGATTAGTCAGAGGCCATCTACTCCTGTTGGGAAAGAGGCGTGTAACTTTTTTGACCCCTGGGGAAGGAGAGTGTGCAACCTTTTCTCGATCGTTAATGGATTTTGTACTAAAATAGCACCGAGGAGGCGGAGACTCGGCAGAGCCAGCAGAGAGGGAGGCTCCGAAAACCTACACGAACTGTGCGGGCGGGGTCGGCTCCGAGGAGCGCGGGGGAGCGCCGCGCCCCAGCGACCCTCTGCGCATGACCGCCTCTGGTTGCCTAGGCAGCGGGACGGAGTCGCCCGGAAGAGCTTCCCTTAAGGAGCTGCCGGCTCCTAAAACTCATCCCCGAGGGTCTCGGGACCGACCAGTTCCCGAGGCAGTCTTGACCACGGCAGAGCAGATGAAGCGCAGAGCCTGATGCGATGTGATGGCCATCCGCCTAGAAGCCGGAGGATTCAGAGAAACAGGGGGAATTGGCCCCAGCGGACACCGGGAATATGGCAGACTTTTCTGAGACCTTGGAGTCCTTGACTGATGAGGTAAAGAGTTCCGGTTCATTCAGTTCCTCAGGAGGACTGCAGCCCTGGTCCTACAACTCTGGGAGCGAGTCTGAGAGTGGATGGCTGCCTTCACGCTCGGAATATGGAGACAACCAACCTGAGCTTTCAGACTTCAAAGCTAATGTAAAGAAATTGAGCAGAAAATGGATCCAGAACCTCAAGGGCAAGGAGACGAACTCTGAACAGTACCGACCAGACACTAAACATCAAACAGACATCACTCAGGTATCCCTTGAAGAATTGAATGCCCTGCAGTCTTTCTGCACCGTTAAGGTAAACCTGATCCACCACAGAGCGAACTCTAAGGGGAAAAAGAGCAGCAGACAGAAAAAGCTGCAGCCTGGACCCGAGGCCGAGGCTCCAGAGGTAGATGCCTTAAAGTGTCCAGTCCCCGACGAGCTTTTGAATAGAATCTATTTTAAAAACATGAGGACAACATCCAAACAGGTGGGAACAGCTAAGCAACACATTTCTTCTCGGTGTCCCGACTGTATCAGAAAAAGGGCAGAACTGGCCCAAGCTGCCTTTCTGAGACAGAAGAAGACTTTACTGGAGTCACTTCTACTCCAAGAGAAAATAGATGAACATCTTTATACGAAAGACTTCCTCACCCTCATCAGAGAAGCACACCAGAGCCTTCCCAGGCTTTCAGATGACCCCAGAAGAATCTGGGAAAGGCTGAATGAGAAACGTAAAACTGGATACTCTGGTTTTTTGAAAGGTCAGATATAAAGCAGAAAATGTAGCAGAATGGAACTAGTGCTTGTTATTCACCTTTTTGTCTGCTTATTCGCAAACCTCTTATTCTTAACCAGACAGGGGGTGATGTTTATTAATGATAATGTGTCATGTGGGTAAATGTTTCTGTTGTGTATTTGAATAATTAGCATCTCTATAATAGGGGTGGAGCGGGCATGCAGCCTATAGCACTCAATCCTTAGCATCGCCACCATTATTGGGAGACCCTGAGAACAGCAGTTATAAGGTCCCTCTCTGCCTGTGGTCACCCCCCAGTGCCCATCGTGGCAGAGTGTGGGGTGCGAAGCAGTCCCGGGGCCGTGCCTGGGGACAGGCCATGAGGGCTGTCCTGTAGAGCCCCAGAAGCCTTGCATGGCTTCCTAACTGGCCAGGCCCAGGCCTTAAAGGAGCCGTGAACCTCTTCTCCATCCCCACCTCTGGAACTGTGGTCTCCATGCCTGGCAGTTCAAGGAGGCCTCAGCAACTGGAGTAAACGGGGAATCTGCCACTCAGGTAACAGCTTCAACCAGCTTCAGTCTCTCTGTTCAAGTTTCAGAAACTGGTCCGGCTTAGATCAGTTGTCTATCCTGAGGAAGTAGCCAGAGGTCAGGGATAATTTGCATAGACATGGAGCATCTACTTCAGGTCCACTGCTGTGGTTGGGTCTCTTTTCAAAGAAGGGCAATTGTTGGAGCTAGGAATTCACATGATTGGTAATTGCTACAGCACATATTCCTGTTGATCCTAAACAAATGATTCTCTCCAACTTTTAATGAGAAGCCTGAGAGCCAGTTGGGTCCTGGGTTCCCAGCTGGGCAGGGACCAGGGACTTAGCCAAGAGGGTGCCTGTCAGCTAAGATCTGCCTCCTCAACTGCGCCTGGGCCCTGTGGGAGGACCCAGACTGGGTGCGGACAAGCGCGTCAGGGAGTTATTGGCCTCTGCAAGGATCACCCTCCTTTTAGCCAAGCCTGGACCGCAGAGGGTGAAAGTTGAGCTTTGGGATCTTGCCTTTTCTTGTCTGAACTGAGAATAACATTTATTTTGGTGAAGGTTTATGGGGAACACCTTGAGCTATGGACCAGACCTCAGGAACAAAGGATCTGCCACTAACAAGCTTGTAACAACTAACACACCCTCCCTCACCTTTCCTATTAAAGGGATTTGTTGAAAGCTTTGGGGGCATTAAGGAGTTCTTAAGGCATGGCCCTACAATAAACCATTCTGTGCGCCAAACTCTTGATGTTTTAATATTCTTTGACCTCACTGTGTGTGGGCACATGGACCTGCATTCTCTAACATTTCTACAGTCACTTTGGAAACAAGAGTTTACTATTCTTCCCTCACAGATTTAAGGACTAAAGCTTTCCACCCAGTGCTTTTTCATATTATAGAAGGCAACATTTTAGTTGAAAGAGTTACAAACTTTTCATAACAATCCAGGAGAGAGATACTAGCATTTTGGATTAGGATTTTGAGTGTACAGGTAGAAAGAAAAACAGAGATCTAACAAAGATTTAGAAGGTAATAATGGGCATTCTTTGGTGAAGAAATGAATATAGGGGTTTCAGTTCAGTTCAGTTCAGTCGCTCAGTCGTGTCCAACTCTTTGTGACCCCATGGATCGCGGCACGCCAGGCCTCCCTGTCCATCACCAACTCCCGGAGTTTACTCAAACTCATGCCCATGGAGTCGGTGATGCCATCCAGCCATCTCATCCTCTGTTGTCCCCTTCTCCTCCTGCCCCCAATCCCTCCCAGCATCAGGGTCTTTTCCAATGAGTCAACTCTTCGCATGAGGTGGCCAAAGTACTGGAGTTTCAGCTTCAGCATCAGTCCTTCCAATGAACACCCAGGACTGCATAGGGGTTTAATAAAAGGTAAATGTTAAGAATGTGACTAAGTTTCTGACTTGTACATTTGTATGATATGATAATTTCATTGAGATAGGATCAGTGGAAGAGGATGATGTTTGATTAAGAAGGCAATTATTTGGACGTGTTTGAGAAATATTTGGGACATTCACATTGAGAGGTTGACGAACATTTGGTTATTTGTGCTTGTGATCTGAAGACAAGGTCTAACCTAGAGATTGACGTAAAGGGTTGAGGGGGAGGGGATCACTGGAAGAGACCGTAGTTAGAAATTGAAGTCATAGATGTGGTGAGCTCTTCTCGAAGAAAATAGAATGAGAAGAGAAGAAAGGCTTTGACCAACTCTTGAGAAATTTACCAATTAGTGGCTGGGTAGAGGAGAATAAGGTTTCCCTGATGGCTCAGTGGAATGGCTCTGCCAATGCAGGAGATGTGGGTTTGATTCTTAGGTCGAGAAGATCCCCTGGAGAAGGAAATGCCAGTCCACTCCAGTATTCTTGCCTGGGAAATCCCATGGACACAGGAGCCTGGCAGGGTACAGTCCATGGGGTTGCAAAAGAGTTGGACAAAACTTAGCAACTGAACAACAGCAACCACAGAAGAGAATAAGCCAGCAAAGGAGATGTCAGAGAGTGTTGTGTCAGAGAGCAGAGAAAGAGATTTCAAGAAGGATGGGCCGTTGAAGCGTGCCAACCCAACAGAGTTCACGGGAGATAGTTTAGTCACATGTTGGCCTCCTGGCCTTAACAGCAGTCCCTTCACTCTTAGAATCTGGGCAGACAAACAAAGCAGATTGAGGAATAAATGTAAACTAAGGACATGAGGGATATGGGTATAGACCTTAAAAAAAAAAAACTTGAAAAGCTCCTTTATTTTTAGTACAGTTAAAATATCAGGTAGCATAAAGGACTGATCTAGTGCCCCCTTGTATTTTGTCCAAATCATGATTAACAACAGTCCAATTATGTTATGAATGCTGCTTATTTCTTAAATTCTGAGTAATTTCTTACATTCTGAGTAAATGTCACCAGTTTTCTACATGACTTAAAAATTGTTACTAGTCTTATTTTCAAAGGAAGTGGTATGTAGACTTCTTGAAGTTTAGCTGTGGAAGGAGAGCGGAGATAATTTTTCTACATGTTTTTACACTTAACCTATAATAATCAAAAATTTGTAAAAATCAGCAAAAAATAGCCTTTGTATCATATTTCAATACTTCAATATTAGTCTTTGCCTTTAGACCTTCATTTATGTATAAACATGCTCCTTTTTTTCTATAAAATTTATTGTATTTCTCTTAGTCATTCCTAGATAAAATGGGAAATGAAATCATTACCATTTTCATAGTAACATTTTATTTGAAATCCACACTATGTCATGCTTTATCTTTGCCATATTAGTATAAAAAATTCTGAATTATTTTCCCATTAAGGGTCATAATTCATCCCTTCAGTCAATTAAGTCTTCCAATCCATGCACAAGAGATTTTAAATTTTGTTTCGGTCTTTAGTTTTGAAAGAACTGTTTCATAGTTTTGTGCATACAAGTTGTGTGTTTCCTTTATTCCTAAGTATTTTACTCCATTGTTTGTTATAGTAAATGGATTTTTTTCCAATTCATTTTCTTTTTGGATGTTCATTGCTAGTGTGTAGAAATACAACTGATTTTTGCCTGTTGATTTTGTATCTTGAAACTGCTGAATTTATTGATTTGCACTAACAGTTTTTAAGAAAATGGATTCTTTAGGGTTTTAGAGCTGGAAGATTTTGTCATTTGTAAGCAGAGATAATTTTACTTCTTGCTTTTGATTTGGACTTTTTTTTGTCTTGCCTAATTGCCCTGGCTCTAATTTCCAGTACTGTAATGAATTGAAGTAGTGAAGTGAACATCCTTGTCTTATTTCTGATCTTAGGGGAAGAGCTTTCAGTTTTTAACCATGGAGTATATTTGTGGGTTTTTCATAAATGGCCTTTTTCATTTGGAGTAAGTTCCTTTCTATTCTTAGTTTATTGAATGTTTTTGTACCATAAAGGGGTATTTCATCAGTTGAGATGATCGTGTAGTTTGATGTACTTTTTAACCCATTCTCATGCCTCACCTTCTTTGCACTCAGCCCATAACCTTGAAACACTGACTAATCAGAATTAAATGTTGTAGTCTTGTATGCTAAAACACTAATATAAATTTATAACACTTGTGTCTTAATAATCTTTTCTTTCTTACTTGATTTGAACAACTGAAGGTTGTTCC